TTGGTGGGAATAATTCCTCCACGCCAGAATCATGTAATATTGGATGCCTCCATTGGAGGAAAATAAAAATTTTAGAGTGTAAGTTTATTGTTACTTTTTTTTTTTCTTTGGCACATTAATCTACAGCAGTGTGGTTTAATTGACTACTATCATCTTTTCCAAAGTCTATTGCCTCTTTAGATGTTGATATACAGAATGTTATGTTTTCTCAATATCCGGCAGCTAGAAAAGTGAGCACTTTTGTTCTTACATTATGATTTCTGATTTGATCTTCTAATGAGTGTATCATGACACCCCACCCCTCTCTTCATACATCTTTATTCTGTGAATTCACATGGCACTACTTTGATCTACAGGTGAAATAACATAAGCTTTCTATGTGATTTATAATTCTAACATTCCAGCAGAACTTCTGACCTTTCTTCTGTTGACTGAATGAAAAATTTTGACCTGCTTTAGATACAGAGTTTGAGAAAGGCCTCTCTGCAGTGACTTTTGAGCTAAAATGTGAAAGATAGGCAAGAACTAGCCATGCAAAGAGACTTCCAGCCAATCAGAACAACATATGCTGTTCAAAAAATTAGAAGCCAGTGTAGGTGGCTAGAATATACTGAATAAAAGGGATAACCGAATAAGATGCGTTTGTTGTTGTTGTTGTTAAGTGCCATCGAGTCAAACCCGACTCATAGCAACCCCTCCTTGGGTTTCCGAGGCAGTATCACTACGGAAGTCGGATTGCCCAACCTTCCTTCCGAAGAGTGGCTGGTGGGTTTGAACCACCAGCCGTCTGGTTAGCAGGCAAGTGTCTTAGCCACTATGCTACCAGAGCTCCCAAGATGCGTTTAGAGGAATAGATAAGAGCCAGATCATTTTTAGGCCTTGTAGGCTATGGGAAGTAATACACACTTTTATTTTTTTCTAAATAGGGAGGCAGAGGTTTTCAATCAAAGGAGGAAAATGGTCTAATTTACATTTTTTTAAAGATCATTCTTGCAATTAGGTAGATAGTTACATGAGAAGTATGATAATAAATTCAAGAACAGATACTGGGTAGTTAAAATTATGTGTAAGATTATGTGTTAACCATAATCTTAACTACCACAGTAGCTGTTCTTGGCTGGCCCTGGTTTTGAGTGGTTGGGCAGCTATATGTAGTTACTCCCCATGATGAGCCTGGCAGTCAACTAGGAATCTACTGTGAGCAGCTGATTATCTGCCCTAGGGATGTGGTCTGCTTCCAACATGTGAGAACCAGCTTTGAGAAAGGTCTCTGAGCTTTTTGGCATGTTTGGACCCTGCATGAAGTCAAGTCTTCATCTCAGTGGCCTGTCATGTTGTCTGCTGTTCTTTAGACTGTTTTCTGGACTTGAACTAGTGACCTGCCCTGTTGCTTGATATCTTGGAACTGTGCCATTTACTTGTTGACCTTGGGGTTGTCAGTCTTAGCAGCCAAGAGCTATCTGAGTTAAGAGAATCCTCCAGTTTCAGTGGGCTGGGAACAAGAGGCAGAGCTGAAGCCCAAGGTCAAGGGGCTTTCACCCAGCCCCTAGAGTTGGCACTTTGAACTTGGACTTCTAGCCTCCTAAACTGTAAGAGAATAAACTCCTGCTTGTTGAAGCCATCCGTTTATAGTATTTTCTGTTAGAGCAGCACTAGAGGACCAAAACAGGTACTAACTATTTACAGTTCCCTTTTACCTAGTGAGTAAAATCTAGACTCCTTAAAGTAGGAGTCAAGATTCTTTAGTTTTCACTACTACATTCCACTTAGCAGTCTGTGGCACATAGTGCCTGTCACAGGCTAGGTACTCAAGAACTACTCAACCCATTTTTCCAGCCTTCTCTTCTCTCTTTCTTTCCTTTAACCAAGTGAAGTTCCCACACCCACTCTGTGTGCTTTCCTACTTCCATTCTTTCACTCAGCTTATTACATCTAACTCTATCCTGTTTCTACAGGACCAAATCATTCTCATCTTTTCAAAGTCCAGTTCAGATGTTGCATCTTACATCTTTTCCTTACCTCTGGAAGTCAGAAATTATCTTGCCCATATGTGAACTTCTGTGTCACTCTGTGACACTTAATACTCTCTAACTTGTAACAGTTATTTGCTTATATTTGTCTCTTTCATAGGACTGAAAAGTGGGAGCAGAAACAATATCTAATTCATCATTTTAGTTGCCACTGCACCTAACAAAATATATTGCATTTGGTGGCTAAAATATATTTTATTAATTACTTATCTGAAATATTTATTTGTATTTGGAGGACAAATTAAGATTATTTAAAACTTCATTTTCATTTCATCAGTGTTCTGCCTTAGACTGTGCTTCCCCACACATTTGCATTTGTAACACATGTGGCATTTACAAGTTCATTTTCTGATGGGTCTTCAATTGATGGATGCCTTCTAAGCTGTGTCAGTAGCTACATAGTTATAACTAATATAACTTCATTTTAATGGGTATGTTTTACATATTGTAGGTTTTCTAATAAATGGTCTTTTAAGAGGATGGGTTGTTTATAATTATATGGAACTAATTCAACTCCAATAGGATTTGAGTAGTACTTCTTTCTGAGATCATCTGTTACCTATCTTTAAGCAGTAGATCTGTGCCTTCTTTGTTCATCTCCCAAATTTACAGTGTTTTTTGTGGTCTTCTAGGAGCACAGCTTGGAACAGTAATTTCTCTTCCTCTTTCTGGAATAATTTGCTTTTATATGGATTGGACTTATGTTTTCTACCTTTTTGGTAAGTTTAAGGAGCCCTGATGGTAAAAGTACTCAGCTGGTAACTGGAAGTTTAGCAGATTGAACCCACCAGCCACTTCATGGGAGAAAAATGAGGCAGTCTGCTTCTGTAAAGATTTTACAGCCTTGTAACTTCCTGTGGGGAAGTTCTGTTCTGTCCTGTGGGGTTGCTATGAGTCACAATCAACTCAACAACAATGGGTATACTAAAAAAAATTAAAGTATAATGTAAAAAATCCCAGATGTACTAGTAGTCTAAGAATTATTTAAATATATATATATATATATATGCAAATTTCCAGACATAATCATTAGCTAAACTACAAAGCTCTAAAATACTTTCTGGTAACCAGTTTTTCAAGTTGATAAGGTTTAAAGTAATCTAGCTGACTGTTATGATCTGATGTTAAATTTGGAATATTTCTCAGTAGAAACCATTGTTGAATCTTGAGCTTAAATGGCACATTTACCTGTCAAAAAATGCTGTCTTAAAATGGTTCAGCCACTACAGAAACTAGTTTGGCAGCTCTTGAAAAAAATTAAACAGGTTTACCACATGACTCAGCAATTCCACTCGTAGGTATGTTGTTGTTGTTGTTATGTGCCGTTGTGTCAGACCCGACTCATAGCAACCCCTCCTTGGGTTTCCGAGGCAGTATCACTACAGAAGTAGATTGCCCCATCTTCCTTCTGAGGAGTTGCTGGTGGGTTTGAACTGCCAGCCCTCTGGTTAGCAGTCCAGTGCCTTAGGCACTATGCTACCAGAGCTCCCGCTCATAGGTATATACCCCCTCAAATTGAAGAAAGGTACTCAAACAAGTACATGCATATTTATAGCAACACAGTAGCCAACCAGTGGAAACAGACAAATATCCATCTGCAGATGAGTTGATAAACAAACTGTGGTATAGACATACAGAGGAATATTTTCAAGCATGAAAAGGAATGAAGTACTGACATATGCTACAACAAGGGAATGAACCTTGAAAACATGCTAAAGATGCCAGATACAAAAGGTCACAGATTAGATGATTCCATTTATATGAAATATCTGAAATAGATAAATTCATAGAGACAGAAAGCAGTTTGGTGGTTTCCAGGGACAGGAAGAGAGAGACAGAGAGCTTAATGGGTAAGCGGTTTTACTTTGAAATGATGGAAAAGTTTCGGAACTAGATTAAAGTAGTGGTTGCACACAACATTGTAAATACACTAAATACCACTGAATTTGCTTTGAAATGGCTACTTTTTTGTTATATGAACCTCACCTCAAATAAAATTAATTTTAAAATGACTAACTTAGATATTATAAAGCACTATATTTTGAAAATATTTTTTCTTAAGCAAAGTAGGGTGCTCTCACATGGTAGTTTTTTGTTTGTTTGATTTAGTCCTGGGTTTTTCATTTCTCACTGGCAGGACAATACATATTTTTAACAAATTAGTTTGCCACATGGACATTTCATGTAGGAAATATACCTGCAATGCAAACAAAAACTGTTGCCTGTGGAAATATATACACTTTGGACTTTCTTTTTTTTTTTTTCAAATTTCTCTGATAGACCCTGATAGGCAAAGTCATGCTTAGAAGTTGTTTTCTTAAAAATTAATAGAAAATAATACAGTTTTAGTAGTTATCCCATTAATGGATAAAGGAAAAAATTTGAAATGGAATCTAAAGTGAAACGATTTGTAGATTAAATTTATAGTTATGTAATTTTTTCAAGATATGTAAAAATTGGTTTTGGTACATTCTAATTTTATTTAACAAACACTTTTTCCCCCCTATTTTAAGGTATAATTGGAATATTTTGGTTTATTTTATGGATCTGGTTAGTGAGCAATACACCAGAAACTCACAGAACAATCTCCCGTTCTGAAAAGGAATACATTCTTTCATCGTTAAAAAATCAGGTATGGACTTTGGCACATTTAAAAAAGAATTTCAAAATCTTTTTGTTGTTCAGAATTAAGATGTCAGTTTTTTAATAAATACTTCTATTGTGCATGGTTTGAGCAAAATAAACAGGCAAAGGAAGTAAATACTAAGTATTTGTTCCTTTAATCTGAGGAATTCCAAACCAGGTTAAAACTATGAAATATTAGTTTTTTAAATCATTTTAAACTTTTCAGAGTAATGATTATCAAGTGAGCCTTGTCTTATTTTTTTTCCTTTTGTCTTAATTATTGGGAAATACAATGTGTTATTTATGAGAGAAATCTCAGTTACATTTTTAAAACCAAATACTGTGTACTAAATGGGTGTGATTTAAAAAGGGAGATAACACATTTCTCATTTGTAGTATAATAATATAGCATACACCTGTTTGCTTCTCTGGAGTAGATCATCTTTAGAAAAACATTTGTATCTTATTAAAACTGGATTTATATCACTTAATGAAGTACAATGGCAAATCAAAAATAAAAGTCTGACATAACTAAATATAGTAAATTTCTAGCCATGGAAATAAAATATTCACCTCTGGATCAGACTAAAAGAAGACCATAAAAACATTAGAAAAAATTTAACTATATGCAGTCAATTTTAGCATTCACAGTGGCTTCAGAGTTTATTAGTTTAACAACATAGAATATTTCATATAAAATTTATCATACCCATTAAGTTAATTGTGATTAATATTTGAAAATCTTATATGTAATATAATCAGGCAGTAATTACAAATTTACTAAGTAATATTTTTGTTTTTTAAATTTTTTAGTTTTGCTACCAATGTCCCTACAAGCTGCAGAAATTTAAGAAATATGGCATCTCTTAGTCTTTGCCAGAGCCTGGCAAAATGCTTAGAAACACAAGCAATCAGCACTATAATAAAGTTACTTTCTTTGGGGAGATTAGTGTCCTCAACATTTTAATCAAATGACACACCTTTTTTTTCCATATAGAACAGATAAAAAGTATTTAATTCATTATAAATAGTTACTGCTAGATAAAACTTGATGTGTTTATCACAGTTTCTTAGCATTGATGATTAGCAGCTTGCTTCTTCCAGTACTTCATTTTTGTCACTATTTTTATGGACGTAAGAAAATTTTTAATTTTAGATATTTTAAAAAATTTTTATCTACCCTGATATATGTGTTATTCTGCCCAATACCAAACTGACATTAATTTGTTTTTTCATGTGCTTCAGAAAATGGTATATTCAGAAACAAGAAGAGTTAGGAGACTAAGGTTTCTTAGAACCCCTAGACTGCATTGTTAAACAAGAAGTTGTCATTGAAAATGTCGTAAAATAATTATGTGTGACATGGACTTTCACTTTTAGATTTTGGATCCAAGAAATGTACAGGATCTACTATACCTCATTCTCCTTTAAAACAAACATTTTTGGAGAATGTACTGTGTCCTCAGTTCTTTGTCAGGCACTGAGAACTTAAAAATAAATAAAGCATGGCTTCTGTAGGAGCTCTGGTAGCGTAGTGCCTAAGGCATTTGACTGCTAACCAGAAGGCTGGCAGTTCTAACCCACCAGCCAGTCCTCGGAGGGATGGTTAGGCAATCTACTTCTGTAGTGATACAACCTTGGAAACCCAAGGAGGGGTCGCTGTGAGTTGGATCCAACTCAACGGCAGTGAGTTTGGTTTTGGTTTTTTTCCTGGGAGACTTGTACTCCCCAGATGGGAACAGATGCGGATGAATAGAATTTTAATATAATGCAGTTTTTACAACATGGCACTATAAGGTACATCGTTCATCTTGAGAACAAAGAAAGAAGAGGTTCTCAACCAACCTGGAGCAGATGGGAAGAGATCCCTCTGGGCAAATACCACATCATACCTGTAGTTGAACAAAGTTGGGCTTCTTGACTTATTATAATGAGGAAGTAGCACACCATGAGGAAACTTGAATCATTTTGGTAAGAGAGTTCGAGGGTTTTGTCATAGTTTAGACTTGAGGTGAACTTGGAGAGGGTTTGCTTTGGATTTGGTGCTGTGAAAAAGCAGTAGCAATTCTATGATAAGGTGTCAGTTTTATCCAGAAGGTAGGACTAAAGCTGTAAAGTAGCAGCATCACTCATTATTACTCTTTTCTGTGGCTTACAGTGCTCTTTTTTTTGTCTGTGTTCAAACATGATTATGGAGTGGTCGTGTTTTTGCCCCACTCCATAATGATCACAGAGTACCCTTGTTTAAGTTCAACAGAACACCATGATGTAGCTGTTAGAGCTAGACCAGCTCAGCTGACGGCAGCCAGGACTGCTTTTCTCTTTCTCGCTAATAAAAGCTGTATCTGAACAGAACCTTCTGAGGGAGTGCTAAAATGGCATGGAGGCGGCATCTTCTGACCTCCTCCAACCTCAGAAGGGGGAAAAGAGTCACCAACAACCTCCCAAGGCTTATTCCTTTGAGGCCAGACATGCCTCCACCCTCCAATCTTTTTACCAGTTCTGATACCAGGGACCTCACTACTTCTCTGCTGGGTTCAATAATTTGTTGCAGTGGCCACACAGAACTTTCAGACAATACTCACGATTATGGGGTTTGTTAGGGGAGTAAGAGGCTACAACTCAGGTTCAGGAACGCAGTCAGGATACAGTTCTTCAACCAGGACAGTCTCAGCTCCTCTCTGATGTGCCCTCAGGCATACCTCTCTGGCCTTTGGCCTCTCAGCCTGGCCTCTGCCCTGCTTTGGCAATATATTCCAAAGATCTTTTAGCAATGCCAATAGGTACACCTAAGTGCACCCCACTCCACCAGCTGGCCTCCTGCCCAAAGGCACTCAGCTTTCTCACTCTGTGGGCCAGGTAAGCCCACCGCTCTGTCTTGTGCCTCTTGGTTCCACTGCTGCTGTCTCAGCTGGGTGTCTCTGCCAGGCATCTCTGCCAAGGTGGCCCAGCGCAGGGATCTCAGGTCCAAGGACATGCTCCACTTCACCTCCAGCAATTCTTTCTTGATGGCAATGAGATTCCCCCTTTCTGTCTCTAGGAAGTCACATTTTAAACCTGGCAGAGTGACAAAAGTACCAATCCCAACATCAGAGTTCCATACACTTTATTTACACAGTCTCACTCAGTAATCTGGTGGGAGTAACAAAGACCATGGCTAGCAAAGCCATACCAAGTAATTCACTGCACCACAGGGAACCCAAAAGCAAACCAAACCCACTGCCATTGAGTCAATCCCAATTCATAGCAACTATAGGACAGAGTAGAACTGTCCTACAGGGTTTCCAAGGTTATAAACCTTTGCAGAAGCAGACTGCCTCATTTTTCTCTCCCAGAGTGGCTGGTGGGTTCAAACTGCTGACCTGTTGGTTAGTAGCCCCATACTTTAACTACAGAACCATCAGAACTCCTGTTGTGAGGGCAAGTTGGGAGTTAATCAGAAAGATTGGGAGAGTGAAAGACGTGTAGGTATTCCAAGGATGAGCAAAGGCACGAGAGACAAAGAGTGATCAGCCAGAAGTGCAGCAGTTCATGTTGCTGACACATAAAAGGCAAGGGCTTAAAGAATGTCTGGCTTGAGCATTGTGCAGTTTTAAAGAATTTTCTATGTGGGATCAATTTGACAATGGTAACGCACAAGGCTGAGATAAGGAGCTCTGGTGGCAAAGGGCCTAAGGCATTTGACTGCTAACCAGGTTGGCAGTTCAAACCCAAAGGAATATGGATGGAGCAATCTATTTCCATAAAGATTTATCCCCTCAGAAACCCAGTGGGGGTCACTATGAGTCGGAATCGACTCCATGGCAGTGAATTTGGCTTTTGGTTTGGAAGGTTAAGATAAGCTTAGGGAGCAATGAGGTTACGTTAATGGAAGAGGAATAATTTGTAAAAGCACAACAAGACTGGTTGGACAACTTGAAGAGTGTAGTTAGTGTCACTAAATTCTACATATAGAAATTGTTGGTGTATATTTTGCTGTGTATATGTTCTGCCTCTATATTCTGGAAAATGTACATTAAACAGCAAATAATTTTTTGTAGTGTGTCCTTTTCTCCTTCAACTTACAAAAACACTTATTTAGGTATTATTACATGGTAAATTACACATTCTCTACTCAAAGATTCAGAACCTCATTGATTCTTCCTTCACAAATTTTACTATCTTTAAATCTTTAATGAAAATTTTCTTTACAAATGTTGGCTGGGCAAATATCTGAACAATTTTTAAATTCCCTGCTGTATATATTCTCATTTATCGACAGTGGTATTTTTAAAGAATATATAGCTCTGATAAGAGTTTTCATGATGTTTTTGCTAACATTTTGGCTTAGTGTTTAAAGTGTTAAAAAGCAAAAATGTCACTTTGAGGACTGAAGTGCACCTGATGGAACCCATGTTCTTTTTTAAAAAAACAAAAACTTGTTATTTGGGTGAAATTTTTACAGAGCAGATTCATTTTCCATTCAGCAGTTCATACATGTTTTATTTTGTGATATTGATTACAATCCCCACAGTGTAATAGCTTTTTTCCCACTTTCTCCCTTTGGTTACCTTTTCACTGTGTCCTTCTTTCTGATGCATTCCTGCTCTCTGAGCTATCTCCCTGTGCAAATGCTGCCCTTCTGATCTCCCATGGTTGATTTTTCTAAGGAGTGTACCTACTTGGTATAATTATTCACCTTGTAGGCTGGTCTAGAGTTTAGCTGGAAACCATAGGAGTGAGTTCAATTCCAGGCCCAAATGGTGCCTAGGGGCCATTGTCTCAGGGGTTTCACCAGTCTCCATCAGACCAGTAAGCCTTGTTTTTTTATTAATTATTTTAAGTTTGAGTCCACATTTTTCTCCCATTCTATCCAGGATCTCCGATTTTGATCCCTTTGCAAATGTTTGGAAGTGATAGCTGGGTACCATCTAGTTCTTCTAGTCTCAGGGTCATATATGCTGAGGTTTGCATAGTCCACTAGTCCCATGGACTAATTGTTTCCATACATCTTTGATTTCTTCATTC